GCCCCAGCGTGGCCTGCGGAGGGCGCCCGCGAGGCCCCGACCCCTGCCGCCCCTGCCGCGCCTGCCGCCTGCCGCCTGCCGCCCCGCGGTTGCTTTCCGTGTGACAGCGGACCGCGGGCGCAGCCCATAAACACGCGTGGCTTTCACTTCCGCCCCCACCCGCTGCAGGACCCAGGTCCCTGGTACTCAAAGTGTGAGGGCGACTTCCGGAGGGTCCCCGAACCCCACACAGGACTTCGGAGGACAAACGGAAGAAGATCGGTGCTTCGGTGGCGTTTCCCGCGCACACGCCTGTAATCCCAGCACTGTGGGAGGCTGAGGCAGGAGGATCTAAAGCTGCAGAGCAGGGTGGGCGACTTCGCGAATTAGCAAGACCCTGTCCTGAGATAAAAAATGAGAGGGGAAAATTAATCTGGGGCTGGAACTCAGAAGGAAAGCCCTGACTCAGTCCCAGGGGCTGCGGGGGGGAGAAGTTATTTTGCATTGTCACTTTCATTTTCTCTGGAGTGTGTGCAAAGGAGTTTTCAAGAAGCTAGGTGAGATATGATTGCCCTCTCAGGTGGATAAAAATATTTGAGTATTTTTGTGCTTTGCACAATTCACTTATATCCCATAGTGGGATGGAAGCCAGACCTTTGAGCGTGGTACTAGGCAACTGCTGTACCACTGAGCTACATTCCGGGCCCAAGAATGCTTTTTAACTTATTATAAGTGTTTCCAAAAACTAAACATCTGGAACTGATATTCTTTTAGAACTGAATATTTTATCCCAAAATAAGGTTTTACATATAACTTCTTTAAATTTTAGGATCATTTACTGGTTTATAAGGGGAAGTTTGAAAATTTACTTTCTAGCTGTCCCACATCTGAATACACTGGAAAAGATGATGCTAATAACGTCAGTATCAGAGAATTGTCTGACTCAGGAAAGGGAAGATCTGGTGAAACTGTTACTGAGAGAAGTATGGCAAAAGCTGCTTTTTTGCCCTGCGCTTTGGCAGTGTTACTCATTTGGGGTTTTTTGTTTCTTTTTTTTTTTTTTCTCTCTCTTATTCAACAGAATTTTTTTCAAATACAGGGCTGTTACGGTGCACTGGAGTGAGGCATCATTTTGAGACCAGCCAGATTTTAAAGGAAAGGGAATTGAATATTTTAAACATAGACATAATAAGCTTTATTAAAACCCAAGCTTTCTTGTTATCACTTTTCAAAGTAGAATCAAAAACTTGGTGAATCACCTTACTACTTCCTGGTACATTACTGCAGCACATTGTCTAGAGGAGGGCATACAATACATAAAAGACCAATGAAGCCTTGGAAATCACTGGATGAACCCTTGCTGAATGAAAACTTAGTAAAAGAAATCATGGCGTATGATTTTCCAAAGTAGCAGTAGCACCAAAACTTTCTATGAACCTGTAGTCATCGAGACAGTGCAGCCGGGTGTGGTGGTACACACCTGTAATCTCAGCACTTGGGAAGCTGAGGCCAGGAGGAGCTTTGTGAGTTCGAGGCTAGCTTGAGCTACAAAGGGAGCTCAAGGCCAGCCTGAACTGTATAAGGAGACCCTATTTCAAAAAGACCAGGGGGGGCCGGGAGATGGCTCAGTAGAATACGTGCTTGCCTGGCAAGCGCAAGGGCCTGAGTTCAATCCCCAGTTCTGCAAAAAAAAGGGGGGGGGTGCTGGTGAGATGACTCAGTGGTCTGAAGCGCCTACTTAGAACAAGCTTAGCAAGGCACAGGGACCACGGTTCGGTCCCCCAGCACCACATGCCAGCCAGCCCCGCCCCCTGGTGGGCTGAGCTGGCCACACACACACACACACACAAATTTTTTTAAAAAAAAAGTTCAATATTGAAGATAGATTTAGCACATCAAACAGAATTGAGAGTCCAGAAATAAATTCTTAGTGTACAGTCTTGAACTTTTATGCAGTAGCACAGAAGGGACAGTCCTTTCAGCAATTGGATATTTATAAAGAAAAAAAACTGAACTTAGATTCCTCACGCTGCATACTATGGTGCACAGCATATTATTCACCATAGTCAGAAGCTGGAAATAACCCAAATAGCCGTCAACTAATGAATGGATAAGTAAAATGTGGGTATTATCATCTGGCCCTCAAAAGGAATAAAGCACTGATATATACTATAAATAACATGGCTTAACCTTGAAGACTATACAGTAACAATAGGCAACATGATATATGATTCCATTTGTGTGGAATTAGCAGAAAAGCAATTTAGTAGAGACAGCAGACCAGTAATCTCTCTGACTAGATGTGAAAATAAAGATTGAGAGCAAAGACTCCAGAGGAAACTGCTTATTCTAAAACTTGATCATGGGGGCCAGGGAGATGGCTCAGTAGAATAAGTGCTTGCCTGGCAAGTGCAGGGGCCTGAGTTCAATCCCCAGTTCCACCAAAAAAATTAAAATAAACATAAAAAAATAAAACTTTATCATGACAGTGATGGTGCAGTGCTATAAATTACTAAAAATCTTTCACTCACAATAGGTGAAGTTCTGTGGAATATAAATGTATTTTATGGGCCGGGGAGATTTCCATAAAGCTAAGAGTTAATGAATTTCAGCAACGCGTGTTCCTGTTGATGGTTTGCACAGCTTTTTTTCCTGGGGATCAGTGACCAAAAATGCAAGAAGAAATATAATTTGCTTAGAAAACAGATAGGCAGGGTATGGTGGTGCACACCTGTACTCCTAGCACTCAGGAGGCTCAGGCAGAAGGGTGGCTGAGTTTGAGGCCATCCTTGGCTACAGTGAG